ACCTCTCTGGGCAGCCTGTGCCAGTGCTCTGCCACCCTCAAAGTAAAGAAGTTCCTCCTCATGTTTAGATGGAACTTCCTATGTTCAAGTTTGTGCCCATTACCTCTTGTCCTGTCACTGGGCACCACTGAAAACAGACTGTTCCCATCCCCCTGGCACCCTCCGTTTAACTATTTCTAAGTATTGATAAGATCCCCCCTCAGTCTTCTTTTCTCTGGACTAAAAAGACCCAACTGCCTCAGCCTTTCCTCATAAGAAAGATGCTCCAATCCCCTAATCATCTCTGTAGCCCTACTTTGAAGCTTAAAAACCAGGACATTTCCCTCCAGAGGTTCCCACTTGCCAACATTTCAGCAACAACCCTTTCCAGCGCATGGCATCCCCGGCAAACCAGGTCGGGGCACACAGAGGCACACTGGCACAGGTGGTGTGACCTTGGGTCCTGCAACCCCACTATCCCCGTCCACGGACAAGGGATGTGCAGAACAGCTCCCACATGACTGGAAGGGAGAAAACCCCACCCAAGCCAGCAAGAGTCAGAGCAGACCCCTCCTTCACCGTAGATCCCGCTTGGACCAACCCAGCAGCGCTCCACTGAGGGTGATCAGGACAACCTGACCCACACCAGGAGCTGCAGGTTCACATGTGGTTTTCAGCAAGCAAGGTGTGTGGGATTCACCTGTTCAGACTCAAAGACCTACAATTTGGAGATCCCGGTGAAAGATTCCCTTCCACCATAGGCAGACACTTAGCAGAAATCAGGTGAACTACATTCTGAAAGTCTCTCTCTCCTTGCTGGTAGCCCCACTGTGAATGTCTCCACCATAGATGCCTCGGACTCTGCAAGGTAGTCCCCAAATAAGTGGATGTATTCTTGTTTACTTGTGCTTAGCATGGCCTACACCACCACTGAGCAGATCACGCACGTCCTACATGGGTGCTGCCTCCTGAAAACAGGTCACTCCTGAGCTAGCAGAGGACAATGCCTCACGCCAGCACAGCTCCGCTTGGGGCACCCACAAAAACTGCACTTGAGACCTGAAGCCAAAAAAAAGCCCCAAACAGAACCTAACGCCAATAAACACATTAAAACCAGGTGCAGCTCTTGCCCCTCACATGAGGAAAAGCCCTGTAGCCAGAAAGCAGTATCACCCCAATTCCCTGTACCTGACCAACACCAACTTTTGAAGAAGTTAGGTTTTCTCAACTAAATCAGTTTTCTTTCCTTTCATGCCAAGGACGGCAACATGCAAGGACACTCTGAAGGGAGCAGAGCAGAGCAAGACTCCTTGAAGCCTTTCCTCTCACGAACCACGAGCATCACCAGCAGAAAGGAGGAACTGGATGCCCACAAACACCCCGCTGCTCCGCAGACAGCGATGGCCAGGGCCCCAGCGGCACTGTGACATGGGCTGGTTTCTCACGCACTACCTGTCTTCAAATCAGAACCGAGTTCCAGGCTGAAATTTGTAGAAGTCAGTCCCTTACGAGCCTTTGTAAACCACACACTTTGCTGGGCGAGGAACATAATTGATTTTCAACACCCAGACAAGTACTGCCACGATCTTTGTTTTTGGGATTTTAGGGCTGGACCCTGGAAAACCTCTGCTTGCACAGACAGGTCTTATTGCAAACCACTCCAGGAAAGGAGACTGCAGAGAAAAGCACTGAACCCCAGCCTCATGGTTAGAACTGCAGTGACCAAACACACACTGGTCTCTGTAGGACCTAGTAGACACGTGCTGCATCATTTAGGGCAATCTGTTTAAGCCTCTCCTCTGGAGCATCCCAGGAGGACAGCAAAACCCAACCGGGTCTCAGCTCACTTTGGCTGATGCAGCAGGAGCCCATTTCTGCAGCAGCCCCAGGGCACTGACCCAACTCTTGTCTCCCAAGGCACCACCGGCACGTGGCCAGTCATTCCCCACTTGCCCCAGTCAGACCAGGGAACGAGGAATACCCCCATTTCTGGCCAGACTCGCCTCGTGACGGAGGTTACATGAGCATCTTGTAGCAGGGGAGCAGCCTGCAGCTGGTGCAAAGTACGTTGGGCAGAAAACACGGCCAAAGAGAAGGGAAAGGCATCGGCTTTCGGGAGCGGGCAAAGCACTCCGAAGCGAGCTGCCAGCTCCCACCCCTCAGCCCCCCATGCACCCGGGATGAGGAGGCAGGGGCCGGAGCGGCCGCAGCTCAGCTTTTACAACCCTCAGGACAGGCTGCAACCTGATTGCTTTCCCAGCCGGGGTCCGCTCGGAGAGCCAGAGTGGAAAATATGACAGGAAGGATTCTCATGTGTGGCCCATTTCCATATCTTGGCTTGTAACTGCGTTCAGTTTGTATTTTATGGACACTTGCTTTTAATCTGGAGTGAAAGGAGAAGAGGGGATTATTTTTGGTTTGGGGGTTTTTAAGGGTTTTCGGAGGTTGCTGCAAGCCAGTCAGTTAAAAACAAACTTCAATAAAAATGCTTCTCTGCTCACCACATTTTATACTGTTCATAACATCTTTATGGGGGGAGGGGGTTAAGTTACTGCAGGTTTAAGGGATTACTTTCCAGTTTTTATGTTTACGACTTGTGTATTTCAGTGCTTCACCACCACGACCAGCTCCTTGGGGCCTTTCAGAAAACCCAGAGCTGTGACTTTGGGATCTCAAGAAGTCAATTAGCTGTGGCCCCTACCGCTGCACAGCTCTCCTCCTACACCAGCTCCACTTCTGCTGGCTCCCGCGGAGAAGCAGCCAAGACTTGCCCAGTCCCTAAGGGCACAGAGAGCACGCCGAGGCCAACCTGCCAGCCCACAGCCGCTTGCTGTGCTGTAGGTGGCCACCCTGGCTTCTCCAGCTTTCATTTCAGTCAAGTCTCTCACCAGCAAGGGCATGTCCTGGCAACTGGGGTAATTTGGGATGGAAGGGCATGGCCTGCACGCTTCGCTTGTTCAGACACCCAGTTCCTCCACCCTTGTGACCCATGCCAGGCAGTGTATGGCCATGCACAGGCTTGCTCTTGGGGAGCAGAGTGGGGCTGAACTCTCCCCATGCTGTCCAGCATACTGGAGCATTACTCAGATTTTACTTGGAGCATTAATTCCTGCAGCAGGAAAGCACAAGATTAATATCTGCATTGCAAAGTTTCTAAATTTTCTTTAAATAACTTTTTTTTTTTTTTTTTTAATTACCTGGCCAAAAATATAAAGGAGTCCAATGGTCCCCCCTACTTGACCTCCAAGGACAGTAGAAATCATGGAGTAGACTCCTCCACTTCCGATGCTGCACTTCTCACACACCCCAATTCCAGATAAGACTGTCACCAGGGCAACCAGGATGACAAAGGACACCAGAAACATGCCCATTACAATGCCAGTGTTTCCCTGGAATGAAAAAAAAAAAAAAAAGTCAAATAAAGATCAAGTCACACCAACTCTGTTGAGTCAGAAAAAGGACCTATCGGCTTCTGGTAACCAGTGATCAATAATTCTGGAGTCATTAGATTAAAAGAAAAAAAAACACACACACACACCTGCTTACCTAATTAACATAACTGATTTCCAAATTTACCATTCCTGTTAGCACCCCTTTGAAGACCTGCCTCATCCTGAGCCTGGACAGACCTTTGCATGAGCAGGTTCTGCTCCATCACTGGGTTCCTGCATGAATCGCTGATTTTGTCCTCTGGTTTAAAAAGAATGATGTCAAACAATGATTCATCCACCACGGGCAGTGGATCACTGCCTATTTGAATGTTTTAGAATGACATGCTTAAAAAAAAAAAAAAGCCAAATAAAAAAACCCACTTTCACAACAAAAAAAGTAGTTTCAAAATTGAACCTCTGGGATTTGCAACAGCTGATTTATTAACAGCACCAGGCTCGCATTTTAATTTTTCAGAACGTTTACCTTTAAAAGCTCTGATCTTCCCAGACAATGAGATACCAAAGAACAAAACCCCAAAGGCAACGCGGCGTGGAAGATAAACAACACTCTTACAAACCGGTGGGCGCTGGACCTTATCCGCAGGACGCACGCCGAGCGGCAGGCGGCTCTCGCCCTCCCTGTGCTCGGGGCAGTTCTGTGCAGAGGATTCAGCCCCACTGAAAAAAAAAACCCACCTTATTCCCGCTCGGGGCAGAGGGAGGGCCCTGGGAGGAGCTGCTGCCCCAGCCATGGTCCCGCTGGGGGTGAGGAGCAAAAGCTTCCGAACAAACCCACCCGCAGGACCCCGCTGGCAGCTTTAACGCCCAGCATCCCCCCTAGTTTTGAGGGTTCCATCTGCCATTTAGGTCAGATTTTCAGAAAGCGAAGGCGCTCAGTACCTCCAAAAGCATTCAGGCAGCACTTCTGAGCTCCAGACCTTCCAACCCTCTCGCACACGGCTGTAATTTGTTTTCCAGGGTCAAAAGTTTCCCCCCTCCCCATGCTCCAGCCCACCTTCCCCTGCTGACAAATCGCTCAGCCTGGTGCGCAGTGATTCCAACTGCACGATCAGAAATCTCCTCCAGTGCCCAGCGCTTCGTTAACGTCTGGCTTCCCTTCCCCTCCTCATATTACGGGCCGCGTCCGCATCCCTCCTTTCCAACCTTGTTCCCGCGATGCTCATTTCAGAGGTCACGCGAGCCTCAATGGGCTTTGTTTATGACCAGCACTAAAAGGCTGCTTCTCAGCTTTGGGGTTGGTTGAAATCCCAGATATTTTTTTTTTCTTTTCTCTCTCTCTTTTTTTTTTTTTGTGAAACAACAGAAACATATTCAGGATGTTGCTATCATCATAAAACCCTATTTTGGTTCAGCATCCCGCTGCCTTTGACAGGGGCTTTATCTGGTCAGTAGGGAACGGAGCCAAGGTTTGCTCTAAACGCAGCTGCTGGCTGGGTCAGCACCACAGCCCATACTCCTTTTTTAAAAGGACAATTGTTTTTTCTTCAACAGCTTACCCTCAGGTTAAAAGGGTTAATAAATACGACACGCTTCAGTTAAAAAAAAAAAGGCACACCCACACAAACATACACGTAAGCCTTGGGCTTTTCCAGAATCTGCTGGTGGCACCAGGCTACGGCAGCAGCTCGTTAATGGGCAACCCACTGGTTCCCACAGAAGAAAGGGTTAACGTGAAGATGAGGGAGGAAGGCTGGGCTCACAACAACAACAGCAAGCAGAGAAAGTGGGAAGAAAAAGCCTCCATTAGACATCGATGCCTATCTATGCATTCCTGGGTTAGTGCAGCTCTACAATAGCTGTAGAGAATCTACAAGATTAGCAAGATGGCAAGATTAGGCTCCCCTGGAATTGCAAAGCTCTAACAGCCCCGGCTCTGGAAATTTATAGTGAAAGCCTGACTCCATGAACAGCTCAACAGATGACTGTCCTCTGCCAGGGGAGCTCTCTGCCAACCCCGACTTCTCCTCCCTTCCCTTTTATGCTAGCTTCCAGCTGTTTCAGTTTTTCTTCTGTTTACTGGCTTTATTTTTATTTGTGTTCGCTCCAGCAGTAAGTTGCTTTCAAAGGAGATATGGAGGAAATAAGATCAGGAGGAAAAGGGAGCCAGGAGAATCATCCCGATTTCTCCACCATGACGGCTGCAGCTCCCCTCACAGCCTCCAGCAAAGCCGTTTTCCATACAGAGTGGAAGTGTCTTCCTGTGCCTTTTGGAAGATGTCCACCATGCCTGTGACACAAACTCGTGCCTGTGACATGAACTCTCCCCAAAGCTCAAATTCCACACGTCCCTGGAGGAGTTTTTCTTCTTCTAAGGGGAAATTTTAAGGAACAATACAACATTTTGCAGCAGGAGGGAAGCAGAGACACTATTCCAGGCTCTGACCCTGAGTTAGATACTACTCTGGATCCACAAGTGGAAGTCCCTTTGATAGTGATGACAATTTCACCTGACCAAGGATCACCACTCAAGACATCGGGGACTCCAATACTGACATGTTTGGAAGAGACCTGCTTCAGTGGGGTTGGGAAGATGGCCGAGTAGCTCCATCTGCGGCAATATGCTTTACCTGGAAAATGGTTATTTCACCTCTACAATACAACACTAGGGTGTGCCTGGTCATTGTCAAGGTTGGTTGTGGTGTTTTCCTTTTGCTTTCCTAAAGCTAAAATAGGAAACCACTTATAAAGACCACTTCAGCTTTCCATTTTAGTGAAACTTCCTGAAATGCTACAAAATACCAGCTCACTGCCTACAACGAGCAGTGCAGAATCCAAAACACCTGCGAGACACGAGGTCAGGAGGTGAGGAGGAAAATGCCTCTTCACATGTTCAACCAAGTCAGTGCTCACTCACCACGAGCCATCCTGTCCTCAGGAAAAGAACCACTCCGAAAATGTTGATCATGCAGGAGGTGAAGACGCCATCCCACGTTCCAAAAAGCACCGGCTCCCACACAAACAGCTGGATCTTCCACCAGGGCTTGCTCTGCGTTTGAGATACCTAGAGGAAAGCAAAGCCTTTGGTTTTACCTCTTGTACTTTACAGGCAGGCTGCAGAAGTGGTGCAAAAGCCAGCCACCAACGGTGGGATGGCCACCAACAGCTGCTGAGACACCACTTTGCCGCAAGTTATCTCTAAGATGAAAGGGCAGCAGAGCTGTTGGGATCCCTGAGCCCTTAAAGAGAGGGTTCCTTGTAATACCCTATTTATATTCTTGTAGGATAAGCAGCAACAGAATCCTACGTAGTCACAGTGAATTAACCCCGTTGATGAACCAAAAACACCATTCAAGGGGTTCTTTCCAGAGCCTGCAGCTATACATTTTATGTCCTTCTGGCCCTGCCAAGCAACTCACTAAGACAAGCAGGGTCCTCAGTGCACTGGACAAGTCTCTTAGATGAGACGACAAACCAGGCTGGACTAACTGGGACTGACAGAGTAGGTTAAGATGGCCTACCCATCACATACAGCCACCTCCAACAGATCTGGGGACCCGGACACTACATTTCTAGAGGAGACACAGGACTCTGGTACTTGGGGCACCAGTGAATTTCAGAGCTGCTGGAACCAAGAGCTGAAACTCCAGAGAAAGTGCAGTCTTTCTATTGCAACTGTTTTCTCCTGCCTTCTGGAAACCAAGTCCCATCTTTCCCTTTCTAAATAATACTCCTCAGGTTTACACAGCAAAAAAGAAAGGCGGTTTTGCTCCTCCAGTCCTGTTTACCTGCCACAGGGGTGACCAGCAGGACGTACAGAGACCGCCAAAGATGGAAACTTGGGCTACGAAGGGAAATGTCTCTCCAACATACCTGCTGTGCTTCCTCATGGAACAGCTCTTGGACATATCCCTCACTTCTGGCACCATTCAGGCTGAACATGGTATCCTTCGCCTTGCCTCCACCTTCCCAACGCGCGGCTCTAACACTACAACAGGCGAGGCTGATCTCAGCAGAAGGTCAGCTATTCTCCTCCGTCAAACTCCTGCGGTGCTGGATCCTCCGTTGTAGAAGATTCATGATTTTATTGCACTTACTGTGAAAGCAGGAAAGACAGAGGACACTGCTGTTGCTTTCTTAGTCAGCACAAGGCTATTACCTAGACGGAACTGAGAGCAGCTCATAGCAGATGCTGAACCCCAGAGTGACACCAGAGCAAGTAGAGGGCAATACTCCTCCCGCACCCTCCCCAGGCCTGCCCACGGCACAGGCTCTATCATCAGCCTGTGGTGGGTTGACCCCAGCTGGACATCAGTTGCCCACCAAAGCCACTCTCTCATTCCCCTCCACAGCAGGATGGGGGAGAAAAAAATATAATGAAAGGCTCATGGGTCGAGATAAGGATAGGGAGACCACTCAGCAATTACCATCATGGGTAAAACAGACTCCAGTTAGGGAAAATTCATCTAATTTATTTCCAATCCAATCAGAGTAGGGTAATGAGAAAAAAACCCTAAATCTTAAAAACACCTTCATTTCTTAAAAACACCCCTCGCTTCTTCCCAGGCTCAACCGCACGCCCGAATTCTCTGCCTCCTGCCCCAGTGGCACAGGGGGACAGGGAACGGGGGTTGTGGTAAGTTCATCACACATTGTGTCTTCTGCTCCTTCCTCCTCAGGGGGAGGACTCCTCACACTCTTCCCCTTCTCCAGTGTGGGGTCCCACCCACAGGAGACAGTTCTCCATGAACTTCTCCAACGTGAGTCCTTCCCATGGGATGCAGTCCTTCAGGAACAGACTACTTCAGCGTGGGTTCCCCACAGGGTCACAAGTCCTGCCAGCAAACCTGCTTCAGCATGGGCTTCCCATAGGGTCCCAACCTCCCTCGGTCATCCACCTGTTCTGGCGTGGAGTCCTCCACGGGATGCAGGTGGATATCTGCTCCACCATTGACCTCCATGGGCTGTAGGAGGACAGCCTGCCTCACCATGGTCTTCACCATGAGCTGCAGGGCAATCTCTGCTCCAGTGCCTGGAGCACCTCCTCCCCCTCAATCACTGACCTTTGGTGTCTGCAGAGTTGTTGCTCTCACATATTCTCACTCCTCTCTTCTGGCCGCTGTTGCACAGGGTTATTCTCCCCTTCTTAAATATGTTATTCCAGAGGTGCTACCACCATCGCTGATGGGCTCAGCCTTGGCCAGTGATGGGTCAGTCTTGGAGCCAGCTGGCATTGGCTCTATCAGACATGGGGGAAGCTTCTAGCAGCTTCTCACAGAAGCCACCCCTGTAGCCCCCTGCTACCAAAACCTTGCCACGCAGAGCCAATACACAGCCCTACATTTAATGGGCCCTTCATGGCCTTTTCTGAATCTATCCACACCGCTGGTGTCCCCAGCATCCTGGAGCACTAGCTCCACAGCCTCACTGTGTGCTGCCTGGGCAAAGTATTTCTTTTCTACTGGTCTTAAATTTGGCACTTGGTAATTTAATTCCATGCCCCTGTGCTCTGGTGTCGGACCAGACCATACGGACCGTTCACTTCCCAGCACCATTCATCACTTCACAGCCTTGATTGTACCCCCTTCAGCTATACCTCTTGCAGACTGGAGTTACCTGCCAACATAAGCTCTCCCCTGACAAGCAACCTCGTTACCCCGCTCTGTCCCTCTTCCAGTAGGACGCAGAGATGGTCTCCACCACCACAGACCCACACTCTGCATTCCTGATGCTGTCAGCCACATCCCCTGCACCAATGACCAGGAGCCTTTCTTCATGGTCATACCCACCCTTGGAGGTACAGTCATCTTGTCTGCAGTGGCGCGACTTCGGATTTGTACCTGCCACGTGCCGACTCTGGCAGTGGGTCAGGCTTAATTCAACACCATGTATGTACCAAGAAAGCAGCATCAGGCTTTATTTCAAGGATAACTTAACCATCTTTACAGAAGGGGAATGCTCGCACAAGCATTCCCCTGCCTCAAAATTGCTGGGTTCTCTCCTCATCAGGGTGGGTTTTAAATGAAGTTCATCCTCTTATTGTGGAGAACTGCTTTTATACACCTCCCTCCAGCAAGTCTTAATTTTCCCCAAATGGTTTTGTGATGGCCACCAATCAGTAGCCCGCAGACTCCCACACCAATCGCCGACAGAGCCTTTCTGACCATTCCTCAGCACAGTCACACCATGCCGAGGTAAGACAAAGGGGGCTGCAGCCAAAGGGGAGCAAGATGTGCTCCACAGCTGTGGAGAGGGCAGTTTGTCTGGATTGTTGGCTCTTCTGGAGCCAATAGTTTCCTGGCCAGTTGAGCTTACATGCTTAGAAGAACCAACCACAGTCACCCATGGCTTGTACCAGTGGCTGGACACCTTAGTTGAGACCAGAGACAAAACTTACCATGGGCGCAGTGTAGGAATCACTGACTCCTCAAGCTTGCAAGCTACAGGGAGAAGACAACCAACAGAAACATGCTTTTCTTATTTCACAGAGAGAGAGACATAGAGCAACTACGCTGTAGGCTTTGGGTCACTCGGAATTTCTCCGTCGAGGTCAGAACCCCAGCTCCCAGATCAGCACTCTCACCATCCTGCCTTTATTATTCTACTTTTAAATACACAATCATAAATAACCGACGCTGCCGCGTCTCCACCACAGCTTTTCAGCTGCAGAAGGTCTCCTGCAGCTGGGGTACAATGACCGGCACGGGAGGTTTTTCTTCGCCCCATCCACGTGGCCGCTTAAGCAGCACCAAAGCCGTAAGGGTTCATTGATCCCCTGCTGCTCCCTCCCCTCTTTTTGAAGCAAATAACCCTTCACGATATCACAAATGGCTGCTGCTACGGGGAGATTGCGGCTTCAAGCAGGGCGAAAGCAGCAGGAGCAGATGAACTCTAACGAAACAAAGCTCATGGTTTTATGCAAAAAGCCCTAGTAATGAAAAAAAAATGAAAAAAATACACATGAAACAAGATTACAATTGAATAGCCATATTCTCCGAAGATTCCTTCCTCGCCAGCGATTTCGCTCAGTAGAAGATTCACTACAGCCATCCAAACCCCCGTCTTTCCCAGCAGTTCCAGCTGGGTGTAGGAAGAGGCCACAGCCCTGCAAGCCCCCGGCTCTCCCAAACCGCTCCACCAAGGGAGCCCAGAAGGAGGTGGCCCTGACCCCTTGCAGCAGCTCAGGGCGGCCAAAGCCGCTCAATCAGTGCATCCAGCGTGTGACCACGGGTAGGTTTGACGCACCCGTACCATCAACCTGAAGCCTGCAAAATACAGAGAGAAGAGCTCCCTGCAAGAATTTCACCCCTGGAGCCCACCTTGCAGGAAACATCACCCTCCTAGATATTTAAACCCTCTTATCTCACATTTTTCTTCCTCTTTCTTAGCATAAAAACCCCTCTCCTGCCCTGTCCTCTTCCCGCTCAGCCCCGCTCCCGCTCGCCTCGGTGTAAGAGCTCTCTCCTCTGCAATCGCAGGAAATCGCCTCTCCACTATTGCTTCTCTGCAGCGCTTCCAACCGCCTAATATCTTATTACTCAATCCTGCAACTGTTTACATCCCCCCTCAACGTATGGATCCACTCAGCCCTACCAGGTAACCGAAACACGGGAGGGAGGCATCAAGCACAGAAGCGAGAGCTGAACAAACACGCCAGGAGGGCCTCTGCCCGCGCAGCCGCGTCCCCATCCATGCGAGGTTGTGCCTATTTTAGCAATTTAGGGTCTGAAAGTGGGAAGTCCTTGGGGCAGGAGCCTTCCTCTCATCACATGCAGCACGTTACCAGCGCAGAGTGGTTTCCACAGAGATGTTTTGCGGCATTATCTATCTAGGTCACCAACCCAGCAGAAGCTTTTTCTGCTATACGTGCCGGTCTGCCAAAAAAAGCAAACAAGCACAATTTTCCTCTAATACAAGAGAGCCTCTAACTCGAAAGTTAATTGATATTACTTCTCCTAAAGTTTCTGCCAAAGACACTAACCAGCCTATAAATTAAAGAACGGTTGTTTTAATCTTTCCATCCCATTTAGCGCTCGAGAGAGAAGAGTGCTAGCGAACCTCCTCGCGGAAACATTACAGAAGTTCATCTCCTTTTCCTGCGATGCTTCTATATTTAATTACAAAACCAGATTCCTGCAGACCAAGTTTCCGCGCCCTCCACATCCTTTTGAAGCAATAATATTTTATTAATCGTCACATTAAAGCCATTTCTGAGCGAAGCGTCGCCGCTCCCAGCTACTCAACAGCTGGCTGATTTTAAAGAGGAGAGGTGAACGCCTTCCCAAGCACAACTGCGTGTGGTCCCACGGCCTCCGAAGCCTCCGTCCCTGCCAGAGGAGGCACTTCCAAGCCTCCCTCCCTCAAGGGACACAGCAGCCAACAGCACTTTAGTTTTAATAAATCCCCTCAACTCTTCTCCAGGTCAAGTTCTTCAAAACACCTAATTTAGGGGACCCTGAGGAAGGCGGGAATTAAAGGGAAATAAAGCAGCCGTCAGTGCAGGGAAGGTAACGCCACGCATGGGAGCGCTTGGTTATTCCCAGTTACTCATTTACTGCCGCACTCGGGATAATTACCCGACTCTTTTTTTGTTTTTCCCTATCTCCCCAGCGAAACCACCGCGGCGGAACGGGAGAGGCGGGAAACACGCCCGGGCTCAGCCCCGCGGCTCTAAC